CCTCTGGTGTTCTGAGCTGCTGGCTTTCCAGTGATATTATAGCTCGTGAAAAAATACTCACATATTCATCCAGAATAAGGTAGGAGTCTTTCATCTGCAGAGGAAAACAGAATCAAAATTTAGTTTTCATCCAACATTGTTTCCTTTGTATGCCTCATCGGCTGTCACTCCTGCGGTGTGTGTCTGCCTTGAATGGCCTGCTTCCCATATTCCCCCTCTCTCTGCAGCCTTTGGAGTGGTTCTCAGCAGTGGAAGGTCTGCAGGGTCCAGTCCATCCAGTCATTCTGCATTCTTCTGCCTCAGACCAGAAGAATTTTACCCTGCAGGCTGCTCTGAGCAGCCTGGCTTCTCCTACCCCTCCAGCTGTTTCCAGGATGGCTATTGTCTGTGTCTCTCAGTCCCCCGCCACAATGGCTACCATTCAAGGAATCTCCAAGGTTTTCCAAGTTCAAGCCATGCTCTCTGCACAGGACAGCGTTTCTGAAGCTCCTGCTGTTGCTGTGAGCTGACTTGTGACAGTTTTGCACTCTGAGGTGTACTGGGCACTGCTGTACTTTCTGCAGGGAGGTTCTGACACACTCCCCCCCCCCAATATGAGCTAGGCAGTAAATAATATCTCTTCCCCTTTTTTTATAACCCATTTCCCTACTTCTTTCCTCATTTTCCTTCCCTCCTCTTCCCTTCTTCCTTCTCTCTTTCCCCAACCCACCCCCTCTTTTGACAGGGCATCGGGTAGACTAGGCTGACCTCAAGCTCGCTACACGGCCAAGGATGTCCTTGAGTTTTGGGTCCTCTGATACCACTTCTTGAATGCTGGATTATAGACTTGCAGTGACAGTGTTTAGCTACACTGGGGGATTGAACCCAGAGCTTCCAGCATGCTAGGTAGGCATTCTCCCAAGTCAGACACATTTAATATTTCTTGCTATGCAGGGCCCATAGTCTGTGTCCCAGTTAACCAGCTCGGTACCACTCTGTGACAGCCACTGCCACCTCCACCATCCAAACAAAAAACCAACAACAAACAACAGAAGACGGAAATAAAATCGTAAAAGAATGGAGTGCAGACCCTGCTCCTTGGCAATTTTTAGATAGAGACCCTGAGAACTGGCCGATCATTTCTTCTACATTTCATCCAGCTTTTGAAATAATCGCTAGAGAGGGTGTTATGGGACAGTTGTAATGGTGCTGACACCAACATGGAAGCATTCACACCTTCCTTCATTCAGTGTTTGAGCCCTCCCCACATGCTTCCCAAACATGGAGCGAGCGTGTGTGTGTGTGTGTGTGTGTGTGTGTGTGTGTGTATTTTATATTAGAGTTATATGATTATCCATCTAATCATTTCTGAGGTGGCCTAGTTGAACTCATTCTTGGTTAGAAAAAAAAAAAATCAATGTCATTGAAGAACCCCACCTCCAGATGACAGGTGGCCACAGTGGACCTCCATCTCTTTGACTCTAGGATTGATTACACCCCTCCCCTTTCTCCTTCCAGAATGTCTAGAATAACAATATGGCAAATTGCAAAGCTCTCGGGAGAGAGTCACCCCTTTTCCCACTTTGAATCAGCGTAGCCCTGTGGTAGTGAATGAACATGGCAGCCTTTGCCGCATACAACCTTCTGGTTAGATTCGGGCACCAAACAGGACACCTCTTTGTGACGCTCTAAGAATGCTTCAAATTCTTCATTGCTTATAAGGAATCTTTCAGCTTCCCTCAGGGCATCTTCGCCAGAGTTCTCACCCTCAATCAGGAGACACTGGAAGACCTGAAAAAAAAAAAAAAAAAAAAGGATAAAATGTTTGTTAGACCAAGAGCCCTACATCACCGTTCACTCCAAGCCTGCAGGAAACAAAGCCAGCCCTACCCCTACCCCCAACACACACACACACACACACACACACACACACACACACACACACACCCGGTTCAGGACTAGCAAGCACAGAATACAATTGCTAGTCACTGCTAAGCCTGTGAAAACTCATAATATGAGGCTCTGAGTGATGGAGCTAACACAGGACAGACACTTTCCCTCGGGGCATTGCTTACTTCAGCCAAAAGCCCACAGATACCAGAGGTTTTGAAGAAGCAGCAGGAATTGACCCTTATCCCAGAGAGCCAGTGTCTTGAAATAACTGATCAGGAAGCCTGTGCAGAAGGCAGAGGAATGTAAGGCAAGCCCATGGGAGAAGAGGAGTCCAAGGCAAGGAGGGAAGGGGTACAGATGGATTCTAAGAATGAGAGGGTGAAGGGGGAACAGTGAAAGACAGCAAAGATGAGCAGCCTGGCAGGTGGCTGGGGGGACAAGTCTTGGGTCTCTGGGCCCCTTTATCTGAGGTCTCCATTTCTCTTTGTCCTGACTCTTTCTACCCTTCATCTTTCTTTAGTTGTTTTCCATTTATTCTGTGCCCAAGGGTGTCATTGACATTTGATTTCAATACATCCATTGTTTTAAAATACACATCATTCTTAGCTTCCTCCTAACCTATTTCCAAACATATTACATGAACGGGGAAAAATATGCTCTATCCTCATCCCCTACCGTCTTGGCTCACTTGGCATCTAAAGAAGATCCAAGGTGACCTTGAAATGACCACTTTTCTTGGAAGAGCATGACTCTGGCCTACCTTAGACCTTGCCTGGGTCAGCCCCCGTGTGGAAATTCTTTCCTGCTTTCAAAATACAGCCAAATGCAACTTCTTTCATGATGTTTTGCAATTCGCCTTGGTGTGCCCCACCTTCCCAAGGTTCGCCACACACAAGTGTCAAGGAACATGCGGCTTCCATGTCCTAGTCCTCTCCAAAGCTCAGTTTCCAAATCTTATCCTTAGGTATGTCTCCAGGCACAGATTCAAAGGAACTACACAAGGGTCACCATGTGGCTTGTTAAAAATGCAAGCGCATGCCAATGCTCCTGACCAGGCCTGCCCTTCCTGGATATCAGTGGATGTATGAAGAAGAAGCTGTTTTCTAAGCAGCCCCCTTGATGGGTTCTGAGCAGCCTGGGGCAGAAAGCTTGAATTTGCAGTGAACTTCCCCTGTGCATTGTGGGTCCTATCTATCATGGGCTGGCTTATATCCTTGGGAGCCTAGGACTTCCAGTGGCTGCTATCTGGGCCAGTCCTAAGGAATGCATTTTGGAAAAGGGCTGACATTACTCTATAGACTTCCTCTGCAACCAAGTAATTCAATGCAAACCCAAGAGCATCGGCATATATGAAGAACATGTAGCCCCATCGACACAGAAGCCAGGAGTAGGAAGACATGTCATTTTCTTGACAAGCTGTTCTTCAAAGCATCTCCAAGCACCCAGCATGGCCTCAACCTCTACTCTCAGAAAATTCCTGAATAAAATAATTTCAAGATTTTGGAAACAAAGAACATTGGGGGTGTAAACTTAATAGAGCCAAGAGTCAAGGTCCTGGCTAGAAAGTTCGAGTCCTCGGTGTTCCTGTTTACAGTGTCACTGAGCCAAGCTTCCCCTGAGTGTTTTGTGGATTCAAGTCAAACAGGCTCCCGTGCGGATTTACCTTCCAGCGGACAGGACTCAGATCCTTGATGTGTTCAATCATGTCTTCGTCCACGTTGAAGCGATTAATGACGGAATTAATCTTGAAAGCCACCTTGTAATCTCTGCACCACTTCCTCAGCTTTTGAAGGTTTTCCACGTGGTTCTTCTTTCCTTGACCCCGGCCAATGAGAACATTAACGTCCTCATTGAAGCTGTCACAGGAGATAGCAAGAATGTCCAAGAAGTCACCTGTAGGAAAATGATAATGATAACAAAAAAATTCTCCCTGAGTCCTCGAATTAATTTACCTCTCTTTACAGTAAAGTGTATCATCTTCTCAGCTATGCCTTAAAGAATTTCCCGATTCTCTGTTTTAGACACATGAAAGTCAGAGATGTGAATTACGCATGGTATTATATTATCATTAAAATACATACATGGATAATGAAATCACAGAGCTACTTAATGTGATCAATTTTAAATTCTGCATACATGTGTGTGCATGAATAATCATTAGCATATTTTAATTAGGTTTGGCCTGGTGAAGCATTTGGCTGGTTAAGCTTTTAGGTTTTGAACAGCACAGTTCAGCTGAGAGCCATTCGGATATGAGGACACAGAGGCTTCCAGTCTGAGGAAATAAGATCAGCTGAGAAGTCGGCCAGGTGAGGTCAGCTGTGGCTTGTTCTGTCTCTCTGACCTTCTGGTGTTCACCCCAATACCTGGCCCGGGTTTGTTTTATTAATAAGAACTTTTAAGATTCCTGCTACACACTTGTTTCATCATAGAGATTATATAAACTATGAAGCCTATTTCTATTAATTATGAAGAGTTATAGATTTGCTTTGCCCAGCACACAGACAAAATTGTGTCCTAGATATTTACTACTTTTGCCAAGCTCATGAGCTTCCTCTTGACATGACTTATACATTTTATTTACTATGTAAATATTTGCAGACACTTTGTGCTGTGTCAGGTACAAGTGATATAGAGGCTGAGAAGACCCAGATAAAGGAGAGCTGGGTACAGGAACCCCACCCTGCAATGCCATGCATTAAAAGTTCTGATAGGGAGTCATTTGAAGAGCTATAAAATATTGAAACCAATCTCTGTGTTGGGCCTCTCTTCAATGGTTTTGTAGCTTCAATTTTTACTCTGCGCTTGCTATGACCCCCCTTCTTCCTTTCCTGCTCCCTGCCCTTCCTTACCTGAGAAGAGTAAGTACCCTTGGGGCTAAGATATCCCTTGCAGCTGACCAAGCTTGAGCTCTCCTGGTTGTTGAGAATTTCCAAACTTCTCTATTTTACCTTAAAATTCTCTTCACATTATAGAAGCTAAGAGTTCCAAAATTTCTTTCGGACGCTATTCTCTATAATCACAAAAAGACTAACTTTAGCTCCTATTTTAGGTTTAATTCTTGCTGTCTGGATTTAACAAGCACAAACTGGAGCCAGAATAAATTTCCTGTTATTTAAAACAACTCAAAGTGTTCCAAAACTTGACCTCAAGTAAATTCCTAAAGGGGTGTCACACCAGATGAGGAAACGGCACACGTGGTCTCCAACAAAACCGAGGGAAAACAGAAGTTGGAAACCAAACACACAGAAGCCAGTCCCTTCCAGGAGCACCTCGGCTGGCTGATTGACAAGTGTGCTGAGCCCCTGAGTCCTTGGCTGCATCCTGACACCAAGCTCCACCTTAAGCTGTGCCTTCTGTGGTGTCCCCTGGTCGCAGCTCTTGGGAGGAATCGTTTGACAGAGCCGGTCTGTTTGCTCAAGCCTTGTGTTTTTCCAGAAGAGCTGAGGCTCTGGTGGGGCCCTGGGCAGCCCCTGCGTATACAGCCGCTACTCCAGCGTGCAGAACAATAGTGGGTGATGTGTGTAAGCTCCAGCCGTGGGGCCATGTGTCAGGATTGTAGTGTAGACACATATATGATGTGCTTGGATGTATTGCTGGGGTCCTGGCGGCTATGCACTTAGCAATATGTGCCCGAGTGACCAGCACTCTATGATTCTCTCTGATCCAAGACTGAAGTGAGTCTCCTGTGTGAAGACAACCCAAACATTGACTGAGGTTCCTGCTAGGAAGAAAGTCGAACCTGTGTGGGCCCAGCTAGAGATGGGCTCAGGAGGAGATGTCCTCTCTGAGCTCAGTGAGGCATGCCTGTGTCCCGCTGCCATTGTGCTCTGCTTTGGCTCTCACTGAAAGAGTCCTGCTAACAAACTCCCAAACTTGGAGCGGCTGTGGGGCTCTGACCAGCTTCTCCTCATGCCCAAGCATGCAGGTTCAACTTCAGGTTAATTTGTAGACATTTATAATTGGGATATTTAACACAGAATATTGTTTTACTCATCCTGGATAATTTGAGATGGGCAAATTTCCATCTAGTATAAAAGCCGATTATCATTTGTAAATGGCATCTACCTGACTACTACGAAGAGAGCCGTGTATTTGGCTTTTGCAGTCTGTGCGTTCCTCTCTCTCTCTTTCTCGGTGATAATGCTGGGCCATATCACTATTTCTGGGTGGCCAGTCTCTGGCACTGTACTGCAGTAATCCTCCCGTCCATACTCCTTGCCACGGGGACAGATATTTTGAGCATATCATAAAGGATGAGTGCTACCCAGGTACACCCTCCAAAACATGGTCTACTGCTCTCTATTCATGAGGCTTCTGTCTTCTTTCTGTCTCACTATGTACCTCCCAACGGTCTCCATCAAGCACCTCCCTTCACAGAGGTCTGGTTGACTATACTACCCAGCGACCTCCCTGAGTCACTGTCCTTGATCCTAAGGATCCTCCTTGCGGGCCCAGACTTCACAGACAGCCTTCACCCACATGCCAGCCTCTGCCTGCAGGTGGATGCATCCTCTGAAATAATCTGGTCAGTGTCTCCAGACAAAAGCGCCAGCCTTCCCTTTGAATGGCTCCAGAGCTCCACAGGGTCACAAAGCAAGTGTAGACAAAGGGACTCTGAGGGGAGGTTTTAACTGTCTTCTAAATCGAAAGTAGTCATAACTGCACATTTGTTTGTTTGTTTTTTCAAGAACTGCCTCATGTCATGTGTTGCTTCAAAGACACTACAAACAGGACAACTCGGTCCTTGGAGTTCTCAGAAAACCTTAAGAGTCCCGAATTCAGCCAGTCCATGTGCTATGAGCTTTAATGTGGCTAGACTTGCAAACAGCTTAGTTGTAACAAAGATTTAAAAAAAAAAAAAATAAGGTCTCACTAGATAGCCCTGGCTGAGCTAGAATTCGTTATGGATCAGGCTGGCCTCAAAGTCACTGAGATCTGTCTCTGCCTCCTGAGTGCTGGGATAAAAGGCATCCACTCCCATGCCCTGTCTCTAACAGAGACATTTATATAGCTACAGAGTGTTGATTTTCCTCAGCAATGGCTAAGCTTAGATCCTAGTTAGCCATGAGCGCTGTTAGAAGGCGTAACGACAATCTGTATGCTGACCTATTGTGTTATCTCTTTCTCCGTACCTGTTTATTAGCACCCAACAGAAACAAAATAACCTAACACTGTGCACAGCTTAGGAGACATTAGAATAAACAAGATTAAATTAGATTTTCTTTCCTCCTGGTTCCCCAGATGCTCTGGCCTGGAGCCCAGAGAGGGAGGAAATGCAGGCGTCCACGGTATGAGCTGCAGTGACCAAGGTATCGCCCGAGGAAACTTACCGTAGTCCCTGAACCACCTCTCCCGGATGAGGCTCCCGTTGCTCACTATGCTCACGGACGGCAGGGCCAGTTCCTCCTTGCAGAACCTCACGAGCTTGCCCACGTATTCACCCCTGTCCTGCAGGAAGGGTTCTCCTCCTGAAAAGTTGATCTTCTCCATACCTGTGAGGGGCGAAAGCTATGGTTTTGCATCTTCCAAATACTTACCTCGTTATTTCGGTTTGTGAGGCTGGAGAGATAACTCAGTAGTGACGATCACTTGCTGCTCTTTCAGAGGACCAGAGTCCACTTCCTAGCACCCGCCTTGGACAGCTCACAATTCCCTCCAGGGGATCCTATGTCTCTGTGGACACCAACAAACACATACATAATATAAATCTTATAATTATTTTGTTTTTTAGTGTGTGTGTGTTTCTGTGTGTGTGGGAGGGGAAGAGAGAGAGAGAGAGAGAGAGAGAGATCGAGATCCCAGGGTCTTGTGCAAAATAGCCAGGCATTCATGATAAGATACAGTCTCATCCATTTTTGTTTTAAAGACAAAATCAGCATTTACTTGTGGTAAAATTAATGAAATAAAACCAGTCGTTAATCTCTTTTTACCTCATCCTGTTTTCCAATATTAGCACCACTATCAATAACTGCGGGTTCCATTCCTGGTCTAAAGCAGGAAGAAAACTACTGTACTATTTTGTTACTCTGCCTTTTCTATTTGAAAACAGCTGCACTCAGTTATTGGAAACCAACTCCTCATCTCCGCAGACTCTCTCAGAAGTCCAAGAGCACCATGAGTCCACCTGGAGATGCTCGAAACAAAAATGCCCATTCCAGAGGCATCTGGGAGAAGATGTTCAGGTAACAGTGAGCTCATCGCCGCTGGGATGTCTGTTCTGGGAAACACCCAAGGCTCAGATGAGTCAGCAGGTGACTCCAAAAGGTGCATGTTAAGGAGACACCAGGCTTTGAGTGAGAAAAGCAGAGACAGTGACTACCTTACCAAATTCCTGGTGATAAAAGACCAAGCCTTAATCTAGGTCCCCGTGAGGTAACAAGGCTCATGGTCTTTACCGTGGGTAATGAGCCGGTGCAGACTGGAACTGAGTGAGTCAGATCCTATTGTGCAGTACTGTGTACTGTATGATTTTATTATCACAGCACAGAATCAGGTGAGTCTAACGTGAGCATCAGAAATCCAATTGGGGGTCCCCATGGGGTCAGAGCGGTGGCTGGAGGCCAGCGTGCACCTGGAGCGCTGGCCAATAATTCTCTGGTAGAATCATCTGGAAGTGTAGTCATTGTGTTTGATGCCTAGACCTGTCCACTGTGCTTTAGTGAAAGAGTAAGGAGGGAGAGAAGGCAATCTCCGGGTGACTAGGTGTTCTGGGAAGAGAGGAGGAGAGAGAGGGAAGGAAGGTTTGGAGGAGAAGATGCTGCATTGGAACTTCACTGCTGAATTCATACCTGGGCATGATTGATGGAGTGGGACCGCAAATCTTGGGAGAAGAATCCCATGACATGCCAGTCAAAATCATTTCTAGATTCATCTGGGGCTGGAGAGGTGGCTGCGTGTGTGATACACTTCCTACACAAGTCTGAGAACCTCTGCTCGGATCCCCAATACCTGAGTAAACCTGAACACGGCAGTGAGGGTTTGCAACGCCAGCCTCCCTACTGCAGGACGGGAGGAAGCAGATGATGTGTGAGGCTCAAACGCCAACCCACGCTGCTGCACATGGGCAGCCGGTGACAGAGACACCCTGTCTCAAACAAGGTTGACAGCTAAGAGCAGGGTGACTTCTGAAGTTGTCCTTCGATGTCCATGGGCTTGGCGTGCCAAGCAGGTGACCACACACACACACACACACACACACACACACACACACACACACACACCAGGTGTACACAAATAGTTTTTTTTTTAAAGAGAAAGAAAAGTTTCCAGCATGACCACAGAAGGAACAGGGTGAACAGCCTGGCTGCTCACACTGGGGACGTGGGTTTCCCCTTTCCCTTTCCTCGCTTAGTGTTTCTGGAAATCAGATTCCTCCGGACAAAATCTTCGAGTGACAAAACTTTTCTGAATGCCTGTTCCCAAACACCAGGAGGAACAGGGGCCACTGTCCACATACCTCTGTTCACAGGAGCCAGTGTCTGTTACATGGTCCTGACCTCCCAGTCTGGAGGTCCTTCATGTCTTTGCAACGTTCCCTTGCCCATTCATGCAAGACCTGCCCGGTGATGCTGTGTCTAGTTCTCGGGGAGCCCTTCCCACCCTCATCCTATGCACAGCCCCTGCTCGCGGTCATCCACGCCTGGGCTTCTGCCTGGGTTAGGGGCTTACCGGCCTGCTTGAGCAGAAGCAGCCCTCGCTTGGCCTCCTCCAGGGGCAGCACGAAGGAGGTCTTGGCTGTGTGGAAGCAGAAGCCGCATTTGTAGTTGCACTGACGGGTGAAGTGATAGTTGACGCTCACGGGGGTTGTGGGCCGAGAACTGTTCGGTTCTTCCTGGGTCTCCTCGAGCTCGGTCGGGACCTGTGGCTGTGGCTGTCCCCTTCCAGAACCTAGCCACCCCAGGACTATTCTCAGCCAGCAGAACAGAAGGGCCAGGCCACTCCAGAGGGAGCCCAGCTGCTGCTGGAACAGGCTCAACAGCCGCGCAGCCAGAGCAGTGGGCACTAGCATCCCCATGGTGAGCGGCACCCACCTGCAGCTGCCCCAAAGGACTTATAAGCTGCGGCGGCCGGCCAGCCACACCCCCGAGCATTCTGTCACAAGGCTGAGGGAAACACCTCCCTTGAGCGAGTCCCAGCTGAGCAGAGTTTCTGTTTTCTGAAATTGAAAGTTGAATCGGAGCCAAGACTGAAGCTCCGGATGGATGGAGGCCACCCGGTTGCCTTGCTCTGGCTCAGGGCTGCCCCTATGACCCGTGTAAACACCGTCTGTCCCGATGACGCTGCAAACATTCCAGCGGCCACCGCTTTCTAAACAAGGGTCTTGGAGACCGTCACACAGCTGCCTCCTTACAGGTGATTACTTTAACACAAAAAATATGTGTTAAGCCTCTTGGTACGAATATCTATGCATACTTAACAATTTCTAAATATCCTTCTTTCATTCCCCACATGCCTCACAAACAAACAAACAAACCAAAAACACCGAAAAACCCTAGAGTTTCATGACTTTGTAGGTAGCAAATCAGATGTACCCTGACCTTGGTAGTGCCTGGCAGCACCTGGCAGCTCTCTCAAAGAGGAAAGAAAAGGAATTCAAGACTGCAAACAAACAAACAAACACAGGCAGAGAAATTCCACAAAGTAAAGTTAACCATTTGAAAACTTGAATACTTAGTAATTAGACATTTCTCTTTTTATATTGTCAGAGGACATGTACTGTAAATATTTCTCAAACTCTTTCTTTTAAAGCTTTGGCATCATGGTACCGTTCTGGAAATCCCAACAGTCACACTGTGCAATGTGGGGCTGGTGCCTTTCCTCCAGGCAAGCTCCTGTATTTTGGTAATAAGGTCCCTCGGGGCAACACATTAACCTTGCTTTGCTCAGTCTCTGGACTTCTCTTCTGATGACTCTGCCCACCCCCGACATCTTCCCCTAGGAGCTCCGTGTTCCTTCTTTGTGATGTTTCTAGTTCTTCTGGTGTTTGGGGGAAGCAGGCAGAGTCTTGTGTACACTGTCCCTTCTGCCTGTGCGAAGGAAAGGACAGGGCCAAGGCTCAAGACCGCAAGTTAGCAGGGTTCATAGATGCTGGTGGAGATGTATTAACCAAGATGAGGCTTTGGAATTCTCCTGTATATATCCTTTCGTCGTTTTTTAAAAGTCTCCTCAACGGAACATTTTGCATTTTTTTTTAAACACCGGAAATTCTGTTTCCAATTCTTCCTCCTTTGCTTCCAATGCATCTACTCTCTCCTGTAAATAAAGAGAATGCAGGTTGAGAGTTCCTTATCAAACATCTGGAGGTGAGATGTGGTTCTTCGTGGTTTGCTTGTCAGATTTGGGGAAAATTTACATAGCATGTGGTGGGGGAGGGGTGACAGCCCAAATCTGACAATAACATTCCTTGACGATTCATCCACACTTACAGCCTGGTAGTAGTTCTAGACACATTTTAAAATGGGTCTACACTCGGAGCAGTTGCATATGTGGAGTTTCACGTGTGTGTGTGTGTGTGTGTGTGTGTGTGTGTGTGTGTGTGTATCATTCCAGATTTGAATTTGCAGGCATTCAGCTTGAATAACCATGTGGCAGCTTCTTCCTATGATTCTCATGAAGTACTCAGGGTTGCTTATTGTGACAGCCAGATAAAGAAGCGTTTCCTGGGGGGTCCAGCTGGCCAATACCGGTTATATATTCAAGGTAAGACGTCAGTTGGTCAGAGGGATGACTCTAAGCCCAAGTTCACTGCAGTATGACATAGCCAGGATGTGGGTCCATCCAAGGGCCCATCTACAGACTGACAGATAAGAAAATATAACATGGGAGCTGGGAAGAGAACTTTGCTGGTAAAGGGCTTGACTTGGATTGCGTTAACATGCCTGAGGCAATGAAAACAACCACTGTCTTCTCATCTCAGATGGGGCAGCAACGAAGGACAGGAGCACAGTTCCAGCCAAGTCCAGCTTGGTGAGCCAATGAGTTCATTGGATTTAAAGAGCATGGGGGATAGGCTACTTACAAAGAAAAGCATCTTGGCAAAGTCCCACCCCATCATGAATGAGGACCTCCTGGACACCGCATCATGCAGGGCCCCTTTCAGCTAATCTTAAACTTCTAGTGTATCCTAGCATTTCCCAAGATCACTAGAGTTAGTGAGAGCAGGAAGGAGTCACAGGGATATACCAGGTGAGGGTCTTGTGACATTCCCCTTTTCTCCCTACCAAGGCACCACGTCAATAGTTCTACTCGGTTACCACAGACTTGGATACCACTGCACTGTTTTCCTGCTTAGTGAACAAGAAAATCTTTGCTCCAAAATGACAGTGAGGTGAATGTGTTCTGCCCTCATGGGGGAAAGAGCATGCTGTAACACCTTACAAGTGTGTGGGCCTGAAATTGGTTCCCAGGACTATATAAATAATGGTGTGTGTGGTATCACCTGCCTGGAATCCCAGCACTGGCCAGTAGAGACAGCCAGGTCCCTAGGACTTGCTAACAGATTTAGCTAGGCTGAATTCACAGCAAGCTCCAGGGGATCTACCTGCCTTTGCCCTCCTCATTGCTAGGACTACAGGCACATGCTGCCATACCTGGCTTTTTTACATGGATACTAGAGATCTGAACTCAGGCCTTCATGCTTAGATGGCAAATTCTTTACCAGCTGAGCCACAGCCCAGATCCCATTTTCACCTTTTCTTAAGAAACATAACAGACTCCCGAATTGGGCTGTTTTAGGCCCCTCTTTTGATCAGAATGATGGTTATATATGTTCTGTGAAAAGTAAAAATGTCCCATGCTGAATCTTGGGTGTGGTTCTGTGCTCAGGGTTTGGGTGATGCTGCTGAGGTACTGTTCGAAGGGTCTGGGTGATGCTGATGAGGTGCTGTGCTCAAGGTCTGTGTGATGCAGCTGAGGTACTGTGCTCAGGGTCTGGGTG